TGAACAAAGAATCTCCAGTCTAAAAATATGGTAAGCTTCCATCCAAAAAGAACATGCAATCATAAGTTTAGTGTCCCAGAGGGATTTTTTTGTATCTCTTTTTGAGATGAATAACCTTCTTATATAGAAAATAGGTTCCTCATCTGTACATCTACACTTCACTGTAAATCCTGCAAACAGCTTTATTGAATTCATCAGGAAAAAACTCAATACATAAACCCTGGCCACTGCTTCCTTTGCTTCATGTAGGCAGAGCTTAAGAGGTTTTATAAAAGCATCAGGTGAGATACTTTGCTTGACGTAAGACACTAAGCAAATTTTAAAGAAAAATCAGAAAGAGGAATCATTTGAGTCTTAAAAATCACTCCTAGCTTGGAGTAAATACGTGGGTCTCATAAGGTCTTTCTGGCAACTATCCATCTTTTCAGGGTTATTTGTAATTCTTAGCTCAAGAGGCACAGCAGTGTTGTGGCATCCAGTTGATCAGAAGAAAGGGAGTATGTGGGTGGGCCAGACGTCATGTATTTTCTTGGTGTCAGTTATTGCCAAAAGAGGCTATTTTAGTTGTACAGTTTATTTTGTTAAAATGTAATTATTATGCTAATTGTTCCCAAATTTACTGGTTAATTATAATTCCGAAATCTCTGCCCTGGTACTTCCTGAGATGTACAAGCTTTGGGAAATGTTTCATAATATTAATATTATTTCCACAACCGAGTCATTTGGCTAATGTTCCTACAATGCAAAAAGTAACATCCTTTAACAAGAAGGCATGGCTAGCTCCATGAAACAGCTGATCTGCATCAAAAAGGCATTTTGCTCAATCTGATTTCACTGCAAGAAGCAAATGGCTTAAAAGGAGCACAAAAGAACCTAAATGTTGGATCTTGGTTTCATTACATCATTACACAATTCCCTTATCCCTCTGTTTTCCTGGGGAATGAGGGGGCGTAAAGGCCATCCCACTGGGTGCTACAGGAGGTCTGTTGGATGCTATTACAAGGAGAGCTGGAAAGGCTGTCTCAGTTCTTTTAGGGAAAATTGTGTCACTGAGTTCAGCAGGAGCGTTGTCCTTGATTTCTGCAGCGGAAGGATGAGGGATGCACATGGGCTTCATTTGGAGTTACAAAGAGGAATGGGTTGGCTACAAAGTTGCTGTCTGCTCCCTGGACCTGAATTTAGACCTCCTCCTGTGTTCCCAGTGGATGACCGGGGTTAGCAGTGGTTGGAGTTGTTACCCCTGTTTCCTTCATGCCTGCACTCATCCTGTGGTGAAGGAAAGGGGAAGTTTTTCTCTGTAGTACACTGGGATGTTCAACATTACAAACTTAAGGTGGAAACTTAAACCTGTGCAGCCCTGGCACAAGCAGCACATCTCTGATGAGCCATGGAAAGGTGAACTGCATTGCTCAGCTTCTTCAGAGGTTGAAGTGGTGGTAACTGTAAACACCGGAAAAAATGCTTTGAAAGTGCCCAGGGAAGGTCACCCAACATTTTTTTCTTTTTTACCTCTTTAAAGAGGAAAGTGTCATGGGTGGGAGATAGAAGAATTGAAATTACACCTGCTCACAGAGAAATAGTGGAGAGACCGTGAGGTTGGGGGAAATTGTCCTTGCCCACTGACTTCACTGGGATTGTGGTGCTGCATAGCTAGTGAAGATTAACCTACAAAACTCCTGGGAAACTTGCTGACTCTTCCTCCACAACCCCCAAAATAGAAAGGAATATCTGGAGCTTAGAGAGAATGCTGAGCTCTGAAAAGCTGAGTGCTTTCTACATGAGCAGATTAAGGAAATCTTGCCATCATATGTTACCCTGTGGGACCTACATTATGGCCCTAATTTTAGTATTGGTTGTATGAGTATCAGATGCTAAGTATCATTTTCACTTTAGGTTCTCAAAAATACATGGAATTCCTTTTAATTTGGAGTGGGGAGATGCTCCTCTACTTTTTAAATCAAGTTTTGAAATTTTCATGACTGTAAATTGAAACATTTGATCTGTTTATGTGTGTAAGAAATGTTTACACAGCTTATACTTGCAGCTGTAGAATGAGAGTTGGGAGTAGTACTGGAAGTCCCATACTGTTACGTGTAAAGATGTTTTGATACATCTGGGAGAATGTAAGCAAGTAGGTCAGTGGATAATGACTTAAAGATTTGGAGCAGAGGCAGAATTTGGGGAAGTAGTGGCAAGGCCTTGCTGGAGAAAAAGGAACAAATGGAAAATCTGAATGATGACTTAGGCTAAAAATATCAATGGAGAAAATTGAACAAAGTTAAATGTATGCATATGGTACGATAGAGTCATGTTTAACACGCCCAGCACTTGGCTGTAACTGGGGGAAGCAGCCTATGAGTGCGTGTGAGTGTTCTGCCTCTTGTGTGAACTCGGGGGCAGAGCCCACACGAGGGAGGGAACTGTGACCCTTCCCCTCAGACACCCCCACTTCTAACTGCAAACACACTTACATGAGTGATCAGATTGTTCATATAATCCCATAAATATTGAAATGCTCAGGATTCTGTTGTGCTTGGCATGGACATGCAATTCACCAACAATGAGATTGGACCTGTGGCAGTGGCACTCAGCCTCTTCATCTTCCTTCCTGCTGTGGCCATGGAGTTGCAGTGCTGGTAATGGGTATCCTGGACTAGGAACATCAGTAGGAAACAGCAGCCATCATGTACAGCCAGTGTGAACACCTGTGGGGCTCACCAGAGAGCAAATCCCCCAAACACTAGGTGATAGTATTTAGTAAAGTGCCTTTTTTCAGGGAATCTCAAACTTTTTTTTTCTCAAGCTGGGTCAGAAGACACGGAAGCGCAGAGCAGTTAATTGGATTCCCCAAGGAAGCATAGCAAGCACTGGAGGACTGAGGCTGGCTTCCTTGTTTCCCAGCCTCCAGCACAAAGCAGCAGACTGTTGGCCACACTACTTTAATATTTCTTTGGGTGACTGGGAGCAGAGCATGACATTTCCTTTTTTACTTTGATATTGAAGGGCACAAATTCTCATTTCTTGAAAATATTTGTCACTTAGAGCATGCCTATACAAATTCTCTCCTTGCTTCCTACAAGTGTTGTGCTGTGGGATCAATTTAGGGACTCCAGGCAGGGGAAGATCGCAGTCAGACCAGGGGGGAGCTGGGTCTTCTCCAGTTTTCATATGTGAGATGTTTCAGGCAGTGTTCATTTCTGAAAAACTTATTTGGTGGTTCAGCAATTGTGAAATTTCTTTGCCAGGGTAGCTTTGTCACAGGAAAGCTTTTCCTCCTAACATCTTGTATGAAATTGGGAGTTGTAAGCTCCCAGGGTAGCTGTAGCTGTCAGTCTGCTGATTAGAATAAAACATTTTCTTTTCTTCCTCCTCCTCTCCCCCTCCCCATGCCATAAAATGATTTGATTACAAAGAAATAGGGAGATAAATGTACTGCCTGTGGTCTTGTCTTTGAGCCCAGGGTAGCTGATCCTTTCAGCGGTCACAGCTGGGATGTGGATAAACCCTGACTGTGCAGTGGGCACATGCACAGGGTGAGACCCTGCTCCCCATCTGTAGAGAGCCCACTGCTGCCAGGTCACCCCGCTGCTGCTGGGGCTGGAGGGGACAGAACCTTCCCCAGGAATTTCCATCTGTACCTGCCCTCAGGCAGAACAGAGATTTCTCACCTTGCTGGCCAAGCCACTTTGCCTGAAGTTCAATGGGATGAGTAAAGCTGAAGGAGTTGGGTAGCTCTGGACTTGAGCATTAGTTAATTAGCTCTCACCTTGCCCTGAGCTGGGTCAGGCATGAGGTGTTTGTCTCAAGGGGGAACTGAGGTGAAGTGGTTCATCACTAAAGAAGCATCAGATCATGCCAGAACAACCATTAGGGCCCAGGACTAGCTGGCTCATTAGACCTCTCCATCTCTGCTCCTGACAGGAGAGATGCTCATCCTCTCTTTAAATGTGCTGTTAATTAAATGTTCCCTGAAGATAAGGATGCTGTAGCAGCATGCCTAGTGTTGACTCCCACATCAAAGGAGTGAGCTCCCTGCACAACAGCCATTAAAGGTGCACTTTGGACTGACATAGGCAGAGATAGGCATGAAAAATTTAAGCTGGGGGTTAGGTAAAAAAACTGATAAAAGTACCTCAGACAAATTTCACAGAAATCAGATGACTGTGAGGTAGGAGAAAGTTCCATGGAATTATTGCACACATACACACAAAGTGTGATTTTATCCTTGTACATAGGTAACAGCTGGCATAGCAATGGGCAAAATCTGGGGAGAGGGGGATATCTCTCTGTTGGTGGGAAGAGGGGAGGGAAAAAAAAGACATTTCTAAATTTTTCTGGTGAAACGGGCATTTGTCGTTCTCATTTTTTATGTTATTGTTTCCAACAATTGTTACGTGGTTGTTAAATTTTTTTAAGTAATTTTAGATTTTCAAAAAGTGACCATGATTTGTTACTTATACTGTAGCTTACAGAAGTGACACACTTAATATCGGGGGGTCCAAACCTGGATATCTACCAATGGAGATGGAGATCAGGTAAATGCACACCTGCTCTTCCAAGGAGGAAAAGCTGCCATTTGGCACCTGGTTTGAGAGGGAGGCACAGGCTGTACCAGAGCATTTTGGACGAGGTTAGAACTGAGCGCTGCCATTAATTGCCAACCTTTGTGTAGGCCCAGCATGGCTTTGTGTGACAATGGTGTTCAGACAAACCGCCATCCACCAGGAGACTCCGTGTCCCTGGAGAAGGCTCTGGGTCCATCCCCAGCAGCAGCTGAGCGCAGGGCCGCTGAGGGAGACCTGGCAGGAGCTGTGGTCCCCGAGCCCAGCCCCGTAGCGAGTGCGAGGTGCCAGCTTGCTCTCCCAGCCGGAGGGAAGGTGGTGGCGGCCGCAGCAGAGTCCGTGCTGAAGAAGGCAGGTGAGAGGGAGGTGTCTGCAGGTAGAAAAGAGCAATTGTGTGGCACTGTGGCCATGCCTGTCATCTCCTCTTCTCTTTTACAGACACTTAACAAGAACAACTTGATACCGGACGACAGAACCAACTTCTACCCGCTGCAGCAAACCAATGTGTACACAACAACCTATTATCCCAGTACACTGAATAAATATGATTACAGGCCTGAGGCCTCCCCTGGAAGGACCTTTACCAACAGCTGATGATGGACAGACACCATGGGACTGGATAACTTCCTATATGATTTTTTTTTTTTAAATTGATTTTATGGACCAAATACTGGCCCAGCTTCTAGATGTAAATATTGTACAGTAGGGTCTTTTTTTTTTTCCTTTTGTTAATTGTGTTTCTTGTAAACAGCACATCTCCTTACAAAGACAAAAATTCAAATGGATCGTTCTGCAGAGCTTTTGTGGATATCTGTCTGGAGATGGCTCTTCTACTGCAACTGTTTATGGCTGGAAGGTCAGCGTGCTGTCCAAGGCTGAGGCTGTCCAAGGCTGAGGCTATCCAGGAAGGGGCTGTGTGCTGGGCTGGGTGGCCATTGAGCAGCCACACACAGCACATGGGAGCACTCCAAGCACGGCAAGAGGCGGCCTCCTAGAGTAGGCCTGGATGCAGCCTTCCTGAGCCAGGACAACAGTGGTGCGCTGGATGACACACAGCTCATGGGACAGGCCAAACAGGACTCCATCATACCAACAACTTGAAGAACATTTTCTTTTTCCTTTTTTTATTTTAATTTTTGATTTTTTTATGTTTCTGAGACAAAAAAAAGTAGTAACTTTCTAGGGCAGTGTTCCCTGTATCTTTGACAGAATCTTTTCATATTACAGAAAATACTCTCTGCAGCCTTCTTTGGTAATAAGCAGTTCAGCTGATGAGAAATAACACACAAATGAAGTGCATTACCCAAAGAAGCTTTCCAGAATGTTTCCAGTCTTAATTAAAAGAAAATTATACAGGCAGTGAGACACTGAGAAAAGTAAATGTTGGAATAACATTGGAGACATGAACTTGGAGTGCCTAACAAACAAAGATGTTTATATCACTGGAAAAAGAGATGTGATGATTGCCGCACAAGAGCCATGGGCTTTTTTTCTTTCTTCCTTTCTCTTTTTTTCCCAAGACAGTGTTAACTCTTTTTGTTCTAGCTTTGATCCTGATGGTGTGTGCCAGGAGAGGCAATTTTAGAGGCCATGCTCTTCTTGTGGGAAATCACCATGCTTTGGGCTAATATTTCCTCTTGTTTTATTATCGGGTTTTAGTTCATATACTTTCAAAAAAGGAGTGATTCTGACTTTGCAGGGGGAAGACATTTTTTAAAGGAATGTTTCCATAGTCTGACATGACCCAGAAAGTCTGCTGCACGTTCTTATAGCGTCTTCCAGTCAGTACTCTATGAAATAGTAACACAGCTGAGTAATGTACATTGTTTGCCAATATTTCTTTAATTTTTCTGAGAAAAAAACAACCCAACAAACAAATGCTGCTGCAGCTATTGAAGTAAATTGGAGCGGTGGCATTACTAAACAGTATATCCAGCCTTGAAATGTATTTTGTGTATGTGTGTGACTGTGTCTATAAGAACTGTATTAGTCTGATGCAGAAGCCATGTTGTCTACAACCAGATGTTTGTCTGACATAATTGTTTGGCAAAAAGGAAACTTATTGCTGGTGCTTAATGTACAACTACATCCAGTGTGTTAGCAACGTGAACAAGTTCACCGCTGTTATCATTCAGTGTTTCTAAATATTTATGATGAACTCCTGATGCTAAGTATTTTAGAATGTCGCAGTACTGAGCATGAGATAAAAGTACACCCTGAAATACGCATGAGCTCCACGTGGTCCTGAGCTTGGCTTTGTTGTCTGCACCTTCCCCGAGCAGTGCCAGTGCCTGGCCCCCGGCTCGGTCTGTTCCCAGCAGTCCTGTCTGTCCCCGCTTGGTTTCAGATTTCGCTGTGAGCCGGTTGTTTCTCAGTGCTGTTCCTTTGCAGTTGCTTGTTTGGAAGCCCAGCTTGGGCTGTGTACTCAGCTCTTTCACGTAGGCAGCTGGTAGGAAATGAAGAAAGCCTGTGTTGCTTGTGACAAGTATATTGCTTTTCCTGCGAGGAAGAGCCAATGTGACTCTGCAAGCCTGTGTGTTACGGCGGTTTGACCAGAGGGCAAGTATAAAATAGCCTCCCATTTTAAAATTACTTTGTTTGACTTCAGTTTGCAGTGACTGAAAGCTGTAGGGATATTTGTAATAAAGTGGGGTTATTAGCACTGCCACGAGGACACCTTAGGTTCAGCAGTGCCCATCATTTTCAGCAGCTGCTTTTCTTTTTTTAGCAGCTCGTCCTGTTTCTGCTCTGATCTCACCAGGTGAAATAGATGGGGCAGAGGGAGAGAGATGCCCTTAAATTGATTTTAAGCAGCGGATTCAGGAGCTGATGCAGACCTAGAAGACTTTCTGAAGCACCTGCTACAGCTCTCCAAGTTGGCAGAGTAGTTCAGCAGCCCTGAACCCCCAAGAGCACAGCCAGGCAGGAGCAGCTGGAGCAGAGCAGGATCACCAGGGAAGCAGGATAGCACTGGTGGCAGGTAACCTTCAGGGAGGCTCTTCCCAGGCCACTAAATCCCATTTGAGGAGTGATGACTGTGCCTCGTGCCATAATGAGTTCACCCTGTCTCACTGAATTTCCACATGCCCCTCAGCAATATTTAAAATCCTGACTTAAAGTAGTTCTAACAAGTATGTAGCCCAAGGGTTGGAAATTATTGCATTAGACTATCAGGATGGGATTTCCCAGCTTTAATTTATGTGATTCAGGAGAAAACACTGGCTCCCAAGATCATTCCAGCCATTATAAAATCAAAGCCATCTCTGAGCTTCCCCATCTGAAGATTCCCTGTATTAACACACTGCAATTACCATGCACGTGGCAAGATTGCAGCTGGAGTTTGAGGGGATACAAGCAAGTCAAACCTTGCAATTATCTCAATTTTCTATTCTTCCTTTCTCTTTTCCCCTCTCCCCTTTTTAATTTTTTTCAATTTTTCACTTCACAGAATAACATGATGCAAACTGATTTCTTTTTCCCAGAGTACCATATGAAATTATTTAAATGTTCAAGTCACTAAGATGGGTGATTACTGCCATTGTGCTCAGGAGGTGGATATTTTGTAGGCTATTGGAGGGCAGATGCTTTAAGGGTGGTGCATGTGGTTATAGTTTCATCAAGACATTCCTCCTTATCAGCCATCCAAATGGATTCAGCCCTTTTCCATATAATTGGCAATCACAGCAAGGGGCTGTAGTCTCCATTTGAGCAGAAAGCAGAATCCAAGAGAGAGTGAAAAAAGAAATCAGAGCACTGTATTACTCAATTAATGTTTGCAGGAGAGTGCAGTTCTTTAAGGACGATGTTAATGTGGTGTGAGAGTTGCATTTTTTTTTCAGCTCTCCAATATGTGGCAGGTTAAGGACACCATGTGCAGGGATATTCTTGTAGTCTAGGTAATTTGGCACCTTGAGCATTAGGTCTGTAATATCTGTAGAAGTTTGAGTTGCTCCTGCAGCTGGAAGTTTAACTTGCTAAAATTTTCTATTCCTAGCACCATCTTAAACTGGAGTGGAAATGCATTTCCTTTGGGAGTGTTGCTTTCCACAAATTTCATTATGCTTATACATATATATATAATTTTTTTTTTTCCCTTCTAAGTAAGAGAAGAGGAACCCTGAGTGGTTTCTCTGTAGGTCTGGAGACACTGTGTCTCTGCAACCCCTTTGGATGGGATTCAGGTGTACAGAACATGAAATATGATGGAAATCTTACAGCCAAGTGTGTAGTGGAAACATCTGTAATTAGGCCATTCTCTCATTTTCCATGGAAGTGGTTGCTTTTCTCCCAGCCGAGGGGGTGTGCCTGGTGCTGTTATCCAGGGATGTTGTGCCATTGCTGTCGGGTTTTCCTTGAGCAGTTGCCAGTAACTCACAGCTCACTGACAGACAAACCACTTGAGGATCAAACCCTCACATAAGAGGTGCTGTTGCTCTAAAGGTGCACTTGAATGTTCAGCATATGAGCAAGGGCTGCTCTTAAATGTATGACCTGTACAGATACTATAGGAGAATAACTTTTATTGTCTAACCACCACTGTTCCTACTGCCTTATGTTCAGAAAATGAAGTGTTTGCTTTGGAATCAACAGAGAGCAGGAATGGAGCCCGTGTCTGACGCAGACAATTTGATGCCTCCAGTGATAATCTGCTGTTCAGCCCACCTGGAGAGAAAACTGCTGTCCATTGAGATTGATTTATTCTTTGTACCAAATGTAGTGGGGGAGATTTATATATATATATAAAAATATAAATATATATATAAAAATGTAAATTTAAAGTTTCTGTAACAACTTACTCTTCTTTTTGTAACAGTGTATACATCTATCAGTGGATAGATACAGTATATATTTATAATATATACACACGGAATATATATATTTAGCAAAATGCCTGCAGAGGAAATTTAGAATAAGAAAGGCAGTGCTGGTATTCAAATTCCACAGGGACAAACTGAAGAAAAAACCCTATAAAAATTTAGTACCCTTTCCATTAGGTTTAAAAATCCACTTTTGAGATAAATAAAATATAATTTTTTAATTGAAAAATAAATTGATTTTTCTAGTTGGAAATGCTGATTCTCCCCTAAATCATTCTGGTTAAGAGTTATTAAGAAAGAGATACTTGATACTGTTTATATTTTCATAATAAGCCTCCTAAATTTCTCATGTGTATCACTGTATTGTTTTTGTAATTATAAATAGGGAGTAATTGTGCAAAGCAAATTAAAATAGCAAGTAGGAGTAACAAGTCTTGTACCATTAGAGCAAAACACATCATCTGTTAGAACAGGGAAAATGTCATCTTCCGTGTTAAAGAAGTCAGTAACTGCCTTCTGAGTTATTGATCAGCTTTACAAGCCTTGCCTTCCAGTCACACCAGGAGGTTTTATCTGAAATGTAGGAAAAGAAGCCCTGTGAACCCATGGCTTTTGTTTTTCAGAAGGGTCAAAAAAACTCCACCAAGCCGTGGAGGCACCTGATGCCATGAGTGTCTCTGGAGCTTTCTGTGTCAGTGGCCAAGGCTCTGCCCCCACGTCTCACCTGCCACCCCCATGAGCTAGCCCTGACACACGGCAGGGCACAGCACCCTCAGAGCTGTCTGGCATGGCAGAGAAATACCCAGAAAATCAGGTCTGAAGGATTCATTCTTCAACAAATCACTTAAATGCCCTCATGGCCAAGGCCTAAACTCCCAACCGATGAATCTTTCCCTTAAGCTTTTTAGAAGGAAGCTTCAGGTAGCTTCAAGAGCAGTTTGGGGGTAGGTGAGAGAGCTTTCTGTCCAACTTTGTTTTGCCTGGTTGCCAGAACCTTCAAAACTGGGCAGAAACCCCTCTGGAGCTGGGTCCTTATAGGACTTACCCAGTCTCAGCTGTTCTGTCTGGAAATTCCTTCTTTAGAAGGATTCTTTAGAAGGAATTTAGGGAAAAATTAATGTCTGCATTAATCCTGCCTGGAGGAGCAAAACCAGCAACCCACTATTTACATAGCCACAAACATAAGTGCTCAAAAGCGCTCAGTGTATGTTTGGGTCTTGAACCTGTTGCTTTTTCTATTCTGCCTCCAGCCTCAGTTGCAAACTCACCCCTGCTATTCAAGAGGATTCAGTTCTATAAGAGCAGCATTTGGCTTTCTGCAGGCCCCAGCCACGATTTGGTTTTAAACAAACCTGGTCATGAAAAGTATTAACACTGCACTCTGGTTCTCCTGCCTCCACCAGCAGGATGCTGCTGATTCTCAGGCCACGGAGTCAAGCAGAGGTCAGCGTGGATGGGCCATTAATAATTGGAGCAAAAATGTTATTAGTACTAAAATGTCAAACAATGTAAAAGCCAGCCAGCTGCACAGCAGTGTGCTTTCTCTCCACACCACTCCTTAGACAGCATCCAGACTTGCCCATACCCAAAAGCCATGTGCTTAATTAGGAGCATTCCCACAGAGGAAGCTTTGGGAGGAGGCATGGTATGTGAGATGGAAATGGTAGGATTTAGCTTGTGGTTGAGGTGGGAGAGTGACAGATGCAATATTGGATCTTGGATACATGGGAAACAATTATATGAACACAGAATGCTTGCCCCAAAACAACAAAACCTGGAGAGTATTATTGGACTCTGTTGTGAAGGCACATCACCTTTCCTATGCAATCGAACTTGATGGTACTTTAGCATAAAGGTGACCTAGACTATAATCACTGCCTTTAGACACTGTGAATTTTTTTTGGGTATTCTGTATTTTTATATATTGTACAATGTAAAGAATAATTCAGAAATAAAACAGACCAACCTGATAAGCCTGTGAGTTATTTCTCCAACACACAGCAGGGCTGGGGCTCCTGACAGCGCTGGCAGGATGGGCCAGCAGGGACAAGGAGAAGCTTCCTCCTGACCTTGGCAGGCAATGGCCTTGCAAAATCCACTCAGCTGCCTGAGAGGGGATGGGGAATTGCAGCATCCACCCTTCCTCCATGTGTGCACTTTGGCCACATCCTTAGGCCCAGGTCTGGGTTATACTTGCCATGAGTTGCAGTCTCTATGGACACCAAATTGTGTTACTGAATGTAAAGCTCCCTTTCCCCCATCACAGGCTCCACACCAAACATGGGGTGCCTTTCAAAAAAGGTATTTCTGAGCGAGGTGCCCACTGAGGTAAGATTGAATATGAAATTCAGGGTGCCAAACCCTTCTCCACATCTGCAGTAAGTGTCTCCCTTTTGCTCCTCAGCTCTCTGCAGGTGACACTGAGCCCCCAAGGGCACAACTGCTCTCTGTGCCAAGCCAGCAAAAAAAAAATTCATTCTCTGCAGAGCCTTTCAGCTGTATATGCTCAGCTGCAATGAAATCCTGTCACTGCTGCTGCTGCTGCTGCTCAAGCCCTACATTTTGATGCAAAAATTTATAAAAAGCTGAGGGACACGTTTTGATTGAAGGATGATCGTAGCCTCGTATTGAAGAACGTTATAGCTCTTGTTGCATTTATTAATCAAAGTAAAGACCATGAAAAGTGACAGAGTCAGGAACATTTTAGTTTATGTTCCGATACAGCTCAAGACTTATATTGAAGTTCCATACAGAAAATTACACCATAATGTCATAAAAAATAGATTGGGTTGCTAATAACCTGAAACATGCTACACCTGCATACATAATACTTTAATCCTACTAAATCATAAGCTATCATTTGGG